GAGAGAGAGGGAGCGATTATTCATTAAAAGTTCAAACAACATAATGAAGTAATAGACGTTCACTTGGATATGGCTGTAATGGTGATAGTCGCTTTAAGAACACAAGAAATGTTAACCGATCATCGATTAGCAAGAACAGAAACAGAGACGTTCTACTATTTGGCCCACTCATGAATATCACATTCTTTGCTTATCTTTTTTCAGGCTCTGGTCAATTAGGCTATTCTGATTATCATCATATTTTGAATACATATCCAAATAGCCTCAACATACAACTATCTTTTATTGTCCACTTCTTCCAAGGATCGATACAGTTGGAATTTGCTAGCCTGGCAACTAAATATGTTGACTGCTTTTTACAATTCGTTGACGAGACTTCCATCTCTTCTCACTCTTCTTGTTTTCCCTATTTTCTTCTCTGTCATCATCATTACTCTAATCTTTAGCACAAATTGATTAGCTTGAACTTCTCATTACTCTCAAAATTCAAGCTGCTTTTTACTTTGGCTGAGGTGTGAGTTATTGCATCCTTTACTAACATTTCACGATATAGAACCGCTATCACTATGATATTTATTTGCAGTTGTATTTCAGAATTTCATTTTATAAATTTTTCTTTCTTTTTAATATGCACGTTATGACCCTTTAGTTTAAACTAAAAATTCTCAGGTCAAGAGATTAAATAATTCTCATCAATGCAGCATTCCTCATCTCATATTTTATCTTCTCATTTATTTGCTACTGTTCCGTCTTCTCTTTCCCAGTAGTTTTTTCCCTCACTTTGAATACTGACAAAATTGATAATTAAATTTCGATAATCCAAAAAACAATACAAGCACATAGAAAGAAGTTTTTTTCCTGATTATCTAACTGTTTATTTATCTATTACTCCAATATGGATCGTGTCATTTAATTGATAATGCTGATAATGGGATCGTATCATTTAATTGATAATGCTGATAATGGCGTTTTTGGCTCTGAGACCGATAGACTCTATAGCGATTCCCTTTTCGTGATCTCTAATTGTTGAAAATATCCACACATAATAATACTTTTTTTACCTATCCGCTGATTAAAATCCCATTGATAATTTAATTTGTTAGTAATACATAAATTAGACGAATTATTTAACAACCAGTCGTTTCCTTTGGCTGACTCACAATATCATATCAAATGAGTAACTATCGCATTAATAAACGGTATAGTAAACAGTCGAAATGATCCAGCAATTGTGATCTTCAATTTTTCATCTTTTTTTTAGACCTCCTTCCGCAAGATACCAATTTGTCGCACTTACTCAAAGAAAGAAAAAAAAAAAATTACAATCTTTATATCTCATAGTCATTTGGCAAAAACAAATGTACTTAGAAGGAAATGACCCTTAGGGTCAAATGACTTAAGCATAGGATGGGAAAGTAGATACCCTAAAATTTTCATATATCATTACGACAGAAAATGATGGCAGAATAGAAGTTCTAATTATCTGAGAAAAGAAAATAAAAAAAAAACAGCATGTTTTTTGATGTAAAAATGTAAGAAAAATTGAAATCACAATTCATAGCTTTCTCTCATTGTTTATACCTATTTTTCTAGAAAATTTATACGATTTGTAGGAATTCTAATTTAGTATTTACAGCTCTTTTTGTTGATTGTTCTATCAATTCACATAGCTTTTCAATTTTATGTCATCATTTATATGTCATCAACCATGATGATTCATATTACTATTATTATTCGTATTTCTCACGACTTTTCATACAATTCTAATGCACTTCAAGTTTTTGCCGAACATTTTTGCTAGACGGAAAAGTATTTTAAAGTTCTTTTTGTTTTCATCGGCTGTATTCCAATTCCCATTGTGAAATATTACGGACGTATTTCTTTCAAGTACAAAACATTTTTATTTTTTGAGTTAAATGCAATAAATTTGAGAGTTTTTGACATCATTTTGTATATATTTTTGGACAGTTTGAAAAATTCAATGTTATCATAAAGCAAAATAAATTCAATTATATGGTAAAGAAATAATAAATTCAATGATATTGTGGGAAACATTTGCTCCATTTTTATGCATGCATAATATGAAATGATTAATTGAATTCATAAACTCAGTCTGATCCATATTTAACATGTACTTAATTCGAGAAATACAATTCGGAATATTAGTTAAATTAAGCTTTTCTTCCAGTTCCAAACAATGAATTTATTTGTTTTCCATTCATTTTCTTCAAGATCCATCCACTTCATACAAAATATAAAAATGTTTTATTTGTCTATTTTTGAAATACAATTCCGTTTTTTCGGTTTTTTATTTTTTTCTCAATTTGTAAATATTATAAGTAATTGTTGTATATTAATTAATTTAGAATGTGAGAAACGCTCATTTGATATCATATGTTATATTTCATCAGTTAATTCTTTCATTATCATTCATCTGGATTGACTCTTCATTTTACTTTCAGACAATGCTTCTTTGGTGCAAAATGCATTAGTAATAATATGTCATTAATTGTACTAACGTTACATAGACGTGGTTCCGTAATCATCAAATGACGTATGAAAAGACGGTAAATTCATTTACTTCATATTTTTATTTTTCTTAGCTTTAACTTCACCTTGCATTATGGAAGATGTTGTATATCTTGATGGCATAGCATAGATCATAGATTCTTTGCTTTTTCATTTATTGTTGGAATGATTAGTTCTCATAGGCATTGTCATCCTTGAAGTGATTGAGAAAAGCAAACGTACCTGGAAGAGGTGTGCATGTGATTTTTGTGAAAGTCGTCGACAAAGCGCTTGAAATAAAATGCGGAAGTAATAAAAATAAGAATAAAGTTCCCTCAAAGATATTCCGATCTTTGATGAGTGGTAAGCGTTGTTTGTTCGACAAATAAATGTTAAATTTAAAAAAAAAAAAAAAAAATTAGACTCTAAAAAAAGCGAATGTGTAATTTAAAGTTTCTTGCGAAAATTGCACTCAGCAACCGATAACATTCCACAGAGTGACAAGAAAGTTGGATGGTTGTCACCAGGGCATCACTGCACATATTATTTCATTCTGATATGACTGGAATTAATAAAATAATAACATGAGATATAATCGTCTGCTTTTTTATATATTGTATGTGTATGTATATATGTATGTGTGCATGTGCGTGTGTGTGTGTGTATGTGTGTATGTGCGTGTATTTATATGTGTGCATGTCTATTTTTGTAGGTGAGTGGGTGCACATATGTAGACTATCTGTGTACAGTTAACTGAATTGTTTCATATCTCTTCTCCTGTATTTTGCTGTTCATGAATGCACCTTTCGCTCGAAATAATGCAAATTTTGATCTGAAAAACTTCCTGATATTACATTTAATATTATCCATACTGACCTGAGGCATTACTTGACCTAACCTAACCTAACCTGACTTGTGCTGCCTGTGGAGTTGGTTACCTACTACAGAATATTGAACCTACGTACGTGACCATTTGTGGATTATTTCTGGATTACCTTTCAAAAACTGATTTTCATAATGGCCAAGAATGATCCACAAGAAGGTCCTGTACCTCTGGAAACATCGGTATTCTACACCACTTACCAAAGAGATTATCTCCCAGCTGTATGTGACACTGTACCGATAGCTACCGTTGCTACTTATCCTAGAAGCAAAGTATCTGTTCTCCAGCCGACCACTTTGCTTATCCACGGAAATGAAGGCCATGGTACGTTACCTTTAATTGACGGCAAGAGTAATGACGATGGCACGTTTCTTAATGGTATACCTCAACAGTCTACGAAATCACTTGTTAAAACATCGTATAACGTGAAGAAAAGTGAAGTAAGGTGCGGCTGTTGCAATGGAACACGTTATGTTATACTTCTTATGGCGGTTCTGAGTTTAACGGCTACACGCGCCAACGAGATGACCTTCAATTTAGCAGTTATTTGCATGACATCAAATGGCACTGTCGAAGGGGTTAGATTTTTAATTTTACTTCTTTCTTTATATTTTATATACTTCTCTTGTTTTTCCAACATAAGTAGTGATTTAGGTGAAAATTCGGATATCTTCGAAATTTCAAATTTTATTACATATTAAAGGGTTTTTCGAATTCCCTTAGGTTGTTATTTTCTGTTTCTCAATATTTTTAACAATTCAAGAAGTTACTTTAAGGTGGAATCAGTGAAATTATCACCTCGCGAAACCAGTGCGATATTTGCGGGAGGTGCTATAGGTGCCATAATATTTGTATTACCGATCGCTTATGCGCTTCACCGTTTCGGATCACAGATTGTTTTCAGCATTCTTCTTCTCTTTTCCTCATTCGGTACAGCGTTAATGCCATTTGCTGCAAGTAAAGGTGTGCCCTGGATGGTATGCGTCCGTATTACGCAAGGTACAGTTCACATCAATAATGTTACCTTTGAAAATTGATCGTTATTGATTTTTGATCAAATATCATTCAGTAAACTCAATTTTGCGATATTTGTACGTATCGTGTAAGTGAAAACAATAACAACAAAGAATAATAAATTGCTGTACCGTTAATTTATGCATGAAAGTGTAATGATCAATCGATAAGCCTATATTTAAATATTTTATAGCGATGACCTCAAAAGAAAACGAAATTTATTACGGTAATGTAGTAATAGTATGGAGTAATGATTTCATAAGTTTGGAGAATAAGGAGAATAGGTTCATAATTGTGTTATGAAATGTAGACTGATATTAAGATGCTTTAAAGATACATCATGAATCGTTTATTTACTAATTTCAACAGTTTTCAAAAATTACAGGCATAGCTTTGGCTTCAGCTATGCCATTAATGGGTTGTGTTAGCGCAAGCTGGGCTCCTATCGCAGAGATCGGTATTTAGCTTTATTATTCTTCATTTTTGGCTCTTGTCTGTTATATCGAACAGAAAATTTGAAGATTATATGATAAACAGAGGAATATATCCTTATACCAAAGGCTAATTTTGCTACAAATATCGCAAGCCAATTTATGTTTTGAAAATTTAAAATTTCAGGTAAATTCTTGACTTTACTCTCATTAGGCGGTCAGTTATCACAGATTATCACAATGCCATTAGCGGCACATTTATGCGTCACATCCGGATGGCCTTCCGCCTTCTATGCCCCTGCACTTATATCTGCCATTCTAGCATTTATCTTCTTCCTTTTTTATCGAAATGATCCGGTGAAACATCCATGCGTTTCTGCCAACGAGGCACTTCTCATCACCGAAGGAGGTTGGTTTTTTGGTAAAACTTCTGGTTTGATGATATTTATCCATTAAACTGAAGTATTAAATGGATGGTAGAATTTTAAGTTTGATTCCTGTTGTTGCAATATAATAAATCAATTCAGCTCTCAATTTTTAGAATACAAAGCCTGATTTTACCCATGTATCAAATGATTTCTGAACTACTTCAACTCTACTACATCATAAGTTTGTGGTTTGATGATGCTACTAGCAGTCACAAATTCGTGTTGCTTAATAAGTTTTACAAAATTATAAACTTATTCTGTTATTTCGGATTTATTAATTATTTCAAAACTTTAAATCAGGCTATTCATTCGGTCATTCACAACAATACATATCTTACTGTTGACCTAATGACAAATCGATATGACTATAGATTGGTTAACAAGGAACATTGATGATGTTAGCATCCACTCCGTTTCGTTTAATGTACCCATTTATTAGGTGTTTGATAGAACATTTTGTCATTTGAAGTATCCATCCGACCAAATGTCGACATTATCTGAGTATTTAATGCTGTATTTCTGCAGTACATACTATATGCTACAAGTTAATTTTTTATAGCACAACGTAAGCATCGCAAAGAGATATCAATACCTTATCGATCCATTGCAACAAGTGGTCCCGTTTGGGCCGTGTGGTTTGCGTTTTTGGGCAATGCATTCGGATTCCAACTTGTTGTTCAGTATGTCTTATCTTCATAATTTATAATTCCTCAAAAGTTAATTGCAATTTTGTGGTGAACTTAAATTCATTGAAGTCATGGGTTAAATATTGGAGCCTGAATAAATAAGATATTTGAGAAGGTTATAGAAATGTCGTCATATTAACACTGTTCAGTCGGCATACAAATGAGGGATATATATATGTATGTAATCGATGTTTATGATTCGGAAATTCATCCTAACTTTAAATTATTTTAATAATACATTTCGTAACCTTTGCATAACTTCTGCACTGAGTCTTCTAGAAAGCGGTAATAATAACTTATAAATAATAGTATCCATAACTTGCGGATTCTCTCAATACTTGATCATTTGCAGATATATGCCAACATATCTTAACAAAACTTTGGCAGTTCCAATTGAGGGGACTGGTCTGTCTGCAGTATTACCACCTTTCGTCCAGTTAGTTATTAAAATGGTAGCTGGTGTTCTTTCTGATAAAATAACCTGCATTTCGGTAAGTTCATCCAGTGTGATCCTTTGCTAAAAGACTTCAAATATTTCATTCTTTTTTTCTTCCTTTTTTTTTTATTACACTTGTCCAGTTATAGACAACTATTAAAAACTTTTTTGACATGGAGGATATAGCAGACTTGAATAGCACGTAGAACTCGGAAGCATTGATTAGATTGAATTGGAACTGTTTGCAAAGAAGACTGTTCCCGTGGCGCATAAGTTATTATTCAAAAAATAATACCCGGTGTCATAACAAATAAAGGTTTTGATATCCAGTTGTCTAGAGGAAGGAAGGCCATGTTTAATATGAACTCCGACTTAATATACTCCAAAGTTATTCTTGTAACCAAGTATTAGTAATATTTTACAGGAGAAGTTTAAGCTTCAGTTGTTTAACACAATTGCAATGGTAGGATGTGCTTTATTCCTGTTGCCACTTGGCTTTCTGAATTCAGACCGTGTTGGAATCGCTATAATTTGCTTTACGGGTGCTGTAAGTTGTATTGGACTGATTGCTTGTAGTTCGATGAAATCAGCCACACTAATTGCTCGGACATTTACTGAATTTGTGATGGCTGTTGTTCAGGTTTGTTTTTTGTTTTTATTTCAGTCGTATTTGGTGTTTGGTAAAGCTTGGAGGATTCCTATATAACTAATCACCGACTGAGAAAGAGATAGACACTGTCGAAGCACATGCCACACTATACTATTTAGGATTTGTAGATAAGCGAGCATTAACACTATCATCCACTGAGTATGATACATTCCGGATCATCAGTAATAGAAAAATTTATACCGGTGATTCCTCGTAAGGTTCATACTGAATTCGGTATGAAACCTGGTTCAGTTGAATGACCAAGTTACACTGACTGGTTGTTATTAATATAGTGATAGTTCAAATCATCTAGAATGTTCTATTCCCCCATACTACGCATTCCAACTTCTTTGTGTAGACAATTCGCATCATGGAACTTATCGAAAGGGTGTAGTTAATTTCTTGTCAAATATCGACAGTTGATAAAAATAAGGAATGAAAATATTTAGTTTTTTTAATTGTAGCTGGTTATATGTCTCAGTATGCTTTCGGTACCATTTATGGTCAGTATATTGGCACCGAACAATACCATTCTGGAATGGCGTTACCTCGTATTCACGACAGCTTTCGTTTTAATACTGTGTAATGCAATATTTTGCTGGCTATGCAGTGCAGAGCCAGAACCTTGGGCATTACTTGGAGAACAGAAACCTGTTAATCATTGTGAAACTGAGGAGAAATTAAGTCAGCAAGATATGGCTTAGACGTTAATGTTTAATTACAGTATATATTATGAAGCCATATAAATTATTGTTCAACTTACGTTATAAGTCATCAATAAGTAAAAGTATTAGATTTCAGAAGTATTTTCAGTTATAATACTGGTAGTGTTATATTTGAGAGGAATGTGTTTTTTATGTATGTTGTTAATTTATTTAGTTGTACTTTTTTAATTATGTTTTTGAAACGTAATTGCTATAATTTAACCCTCGGCCAGTGGGATGTCCAGAATTTCAGGTGAAATTGTGAAGGATAAAATGAATGATTGAACAGCAGGAATAATCTCGAAGAGATACATGATTGGTCAGGAAAGGTGATTCCTAATACGAGTGAAATCTTTACTAAAGAATAATGGAAAAAAATCCGTAATAGAATTGAAAACCTCCCGAAAGATGTCCTTAATAGAATTAGGATTTCCTGGGAGATATCCTTGCCAATAAAAGTACAAGAATTCTCTCTCAATTTCTCCCCTCTCGATGCTATAACGTTTATAAGACCTGGACCTTAAATAGTAGAGATAATCCTTATTTTTTGCCATGCTTTATGCAACTTGCTGTTAATGTTAATATGTGTACTATTTTTGTAACTATGATGAAAAACTATGATTGGTTTTGAAGCGTTCTGCCGTTTGATATTATAATGTGCATGTTATATTATAAATCTTAATTCATTCTTAATTTTTTAATTTCGGTTTCTGTTTAATTAATTTGTGCAGAATTAAGGGATCGTTTTCTGTGCTTTTTATTTTCTTGCACACCATCTTTTACTGTTTGCTTCGTGGAAAACTTATCCTCTTCATTTCCTCTTACTACCCGTTTAAAAAGCTTCCTCCCCTTTTAAAAGTTATACCATTTTTTAATTTTCATTTGAAACATTAAGGAATTCCTTCTTAGTTACCTCTCTCGGATAAAGTTAAACCTTGCAGTGATTTTATCGGATAAATATATCCTAACTTATCCGCAGTGAGAGAAGCCAGCAGAATCTCAAAAACTAGAAAAAAAAACTCCGCCGATGAAAAGTGATGTTCAGATGTAAAATTTTGATATGGTTGTTGTACTGTTATTTCGAATAACATTTAAATCCATTAGAAAATAATGTGTATATTATATAGTTTTTCTGATAGTATTCGCTTAGTTTATCTTATATTGGTTGTTTCTTAAAAGCTTTTCTTGAAATTGAAGTAAAAATTGAAAATGATAGAAGATAAATGTTCAGAAAGAAAAAGAAATAGCTAAGAGCTACAGCATAAGTGCCATCAGTTAACCTTACACACCTCTTTCCGTTATACATGGAAAAAACTTTGCTATCCAAGGTGGTCATCGTAGAACTTAGAATGGAGTTATTTTTGTCGGGTGCAGTATGCTTTGTTAATGGAGTTAGTTTATGGAAATGTATACATTACATAGTTTCAACTGAATAAACTAACATACATAATAAATACGTTTCGGAATTTCCGGAATTACAAATGACTTTGTCCAAATACATACACTTACTCCCGCATTACTGTACCGAATCTAGCTGAAGAGAAATTCGTTTATGTTCTAATCAGCTCCTTCCTTCTTGATATTTAGCTTGACTACATTGTTGGTCCGCGGCCTACCGTCCTAATCTCGCTGTGTATCAGCGCGTTTCAATCGCTGCGGAAGTCGTAGTGATCTGAGAAGGGGCTAAATTTCTTGCACCTTTTTCTAGTTTTTAATTCGAATCTTTTCAAAGACCTCGTCAAGATCTTCCTTGTTTGTTTTCGAAGTCTTTCCTCAGCTCTGACCTTCGCCCATAACCTTCCTTGTGTATGATCATTTCCCACGACTTTTTTTGTGTATAACCTGAAGGTTTTCTCACCTGAGACTTGAAAAAATCCTCCACAACAGTAATGTAAAGTATTCCTTCATGTCCCTGGTATCTTTGTGATTAAGTCGCTCAGATATTGACACGTCATCAGAACGCATAACATGGCTGGAATGGATACTGAACTCTGTAGTATTCTATCGTCCCACTAATTTTATTTTAAGTGGATGACTCATATCCCTGATAACTGTTAT